CAACACTTAGTTGTTAGTAATATTTTGCTTAACAATTGAAGTTTTAATAAAAATTATTGTACATTTATTCATAGTATGCTGAAAAAAATTTTTTCAGTACTTTAAATGAAAAATAAATTATAAAAACTACTACAATTTTATACTTTTTCCATAATACATTCAGATACAACAGAAAAAAATATTATGCATTTTCATCGAAATTTGTGAAAAATATCGTTATAACACAAAAATAAATATTAAGAGACAATACCTATTAAAAAGATAACCTTGAGAACAGTGACTTTATCACTACTTCATAAGTTTTCATCAAAAGCAATTTAATTTATTATACAGCATTGAATTTTTTTGTTTATTTAGAAGTGTCAGCTTTCTGAAGAATATTACCAGACATTTTATCCTTTTCCCTTTAAGTGTTTGATAAGCACATAAAAAAAAAATCTAATTGATTTTTTAAACACCCAAATAGAAATTTTTTTTTCAATGTAAAATGACGGTAAAATAAAATTTAATGTACCAAATATAAAAAAAAAAACCCCAACCCACTTCCTACCAAAAATGTACATTACTAGATTAGTGTTAAATAAAAAGCAAGAGGACAGTTAATATCTGTACTTCTACAGTTGTTGTACGCATTATATTTATAACTAAGATTCTATCGTACGAAAAGCATATGAATCAAATTTAAATACTTGATATTTTTAGGACCTGCAACATTAATATTAAAAACTTTGATTTCTCATTCTATACATGCAAAGTTGACATAACAAAAACATATTTATTTATAGGCTAGGAAAGAATGTGAATTATATGTGTATACTACATACAGATAGTATATTTATGCACGTGTATTATACATCTTCGTTTCCATAAGATTATCATCAACTTCATTCTTACAGAAGCAAGTAAAACTAAGTTTCAGATTCATTTTAGAAACTAGTTTTAATTTGTTCCAAGTATCACGAACTTAGATTAAAAAAATGATGGCCTTATAAAACCGATGAGGGATTTTAGAAAAAGACTTCTTTGAATAAAATTAAAACATTTTTAAACTGACCTTACATGACTTTCTTATTTAAAAAAAAGTTTTAGTATTAGGTAGCATACGATGACAACTTTGTCTGCACATTTATAAACTTTAAAAATAATCAGCCATTTTTAAGTATTCTACTCAGTGCGTACTGTAAGCCTATAGCTACTGTTTTAGTCATTTTTTATGTCAGTAAGTTTAGTTGTGAGTTTCGTTGGCTTACTGCATTACGTATCTTTTGAATATTAATTTTATTTTTTTTTATAAAATCTGAAATCGGTGTACGTAAAACTGTTTTTAAAAATTTTAATAAAAAAATTACACAAATAAAAACAGTATACTTATATTTTAACGAAACTTTTACAGGGACAAATAATCATTGAAACTCTGCCAACAAAAAATTCAATTTACGTATTCCAACATAAATGTAACTTTAGGAATTAAGAATTACTGTCCTTTATTAAGTTACCTCCAAATAAGTATGTGAATATGAAGAGCCGTGAGTATTTTCATAGCGTTGCAAAGGCTTCTTACCTTATGAATTGGAATCACAAAAGATTACTATGACATTAGAATTTAGATTTTCTTAAGATTTACGTGTACACTAAGAGAAAAAAGCAGTCATCAAAACTATCATTATTTGGTAACAGCTACTACACAACTGTTAAGGGTATTGACTAACGGTGCGTAGGAAATTCAACTACGATGCTGTAGTAAGAAGCACATAATGCCGTGCACACCCAAAACAAACATAGACATACGTTTACAAGCTGAGAAGACGCTACTACATGAGCTCTGTTGGTAACCACACGAAAATATTTAGAATTTGTTAATTATTTAATAAAAACTGCATTAATTCTGTTTAACGCAGCTCTTTTCTTCAATTCGTACAATGCATTATCAACTTTTGGCATACAAGACGGATACTTTGAAGGTTACAAAGTTTTTTAACATATTTTCACACATTTACAACAAAGACATTTTGTTAATGTTTTAGTCCAAACAAAAGAGCGAATTTATGTCTTCCATTTTATCTGATAACATTGATACTATTAATAAGTTTTTAACTAAAAGCTAGTTTCTCTATACTACGTAGTAGAAACTACTACACAGGGTTCGCCAATGTAATTATAACCCTCTTACTACAGTTACGTAGTCACAGCAATCGAACATTTACGCAGACTGTACTATATCTTCTCTCAATATACATGAGAAAATTTAAAAATTTTTAATACGTATTTGTGTATAAGCCTTCCAGTACTTTTTGATTTAAAATACCATTAATTAGGTTTTTTTTGCAAAGACATGCATTATACAAATCTGATGATCTATTTTGCGTTTACCAAAAAAGTAATAAAATAGTTTATTAATTATTTTTGCCATACGAATAAAAATAATGTATTCATTTTGACAGCTAACAATTATACAGAACCACAAGCTAAAAAAAAAAAAATAAAATGTGAAAACTAAATACAGTAAATTCCAAGTCTAATTCAGGACGCTGAATATAAATCTAAAGTCTAAACTCAAAAATTGTTTACGGTCGTTCGATATAGGACCTATATTTAAGATATACATAAGAGGGCTTAAGTCTTACATAATCTTAATACGTTTTTCTTAAGAAAAAAAAAAAAAAGAAAGAAAAAATTATGTAATGGATCAATATAGGTTCACATTTATATTTAGCAGCCCAAAATATTTTCCATTTGTATCAAATTGCTTATTTTTTATTTTTACGTTTTAAAGTGGAATGCGTTAATTATTTTTTCAAAAACGCCAGTTAAAAATCTAAGAATTTTAATTAAAAAAGGTTGACTTACATTGAAACAAAATATAATATATCCAAACCATAAGTTTACTGGTATGGAGACTTACAGATAGTCATTTTATTAAAATTTTTTGGTATCAGTAAGGTTAAAAAAATTTCCTGCTTATAAAAAAAATTTACAGCAAAGTAATGAAAAAATAATTAAAATTATTTTTATAACTCTATAAATTTATATGCAGGACTAACTTTCAAAATTAACAGCTCAGATTTTGAGCAATTGAAAAAAAAACTTATTGCCCACCTTCTACGCAAATCAGTAGCATAGAATGTTTTTAAGCTTTATGAAATTCACATTTTTTAATCTTTTAGAATTTGTTACCAAATTAAAATTAAAAATCATCTGTTTCGAAAATGTCACTAAAATTAATGATGTTTAAAATCTAATACTAGAAATGTACGTATTTGTAATAGTTAACATAACGTGATAGTGCTTTTAACTCGAATACGTAATCTTTTACAAAAGAATTTCTAGTAAAAATCATAAAGCATATCAGGGCAAAAACTAGGCGAAAACTAGGAGAAATAAAGCTCAAGTGAAAACTAGTTTGAGATATTTCCAACATAAACTACAATGGTTCACTAAGCTCAGATAGAAACTATGACATTCTGATCGATCCACCAAGTGACAATTGCAATAATCCTCTAATCTTAGACTGAAACAATGGCAACTCTTCAAGTTTGGATGGCAATAACTCTGACTTCTGTAGTAAGGACTAGTAGAGACTACGATGATTTATAATTGAAAATTAGTTGTTATTTAACAAAAAAACTAAACACAATCAATTATTAAATGCAGACACGTAGGGCATTAAAAAACTTTATAGAAGATGTATTACAAATTACGACAGATTTTCAAAAATAGAGTAAAACATAAAATTTGAACTACAACTTTGTTTTGTGTAAAAACAGTGCGATTACAAAATTTTGTTAGCTTTCAATTTTCTACAAATTATATTTCAATGTTACTTGACAAATACGATATTCGTTTACACTGAAAAAAAGTGGCCAGTATAGCTAGGCAGCACAGCTACTGTAGTTTGTCGACTCAAGCTGCTACTGTCAAGCTAGAAAGAGCTTGCTGCTAGCAGAAACTGCTTGGCAGCTCAGGCCAATGTACAGAAGTGTATATAATACTCAGTTTGTGACTAGTCACATTTGTCTGTTACCAACCAGTTTTTTCTTGACTCCCAGGCCAACCAAGCCTGACGATAGCTGCTGGGATCAATAACCTACAGTAGCCGCACATTTAAGCTATACTGGACACTTTTTCCAGTGTAGGCTTTGAATGTAACAATTGGTTTTTCAACTAAAATATAAAGTGGTATGTGTTATTGCTGAATTTGTCATTTTTTATTGAAATGAATAATCAATGGTCTAAAAAATCTATAATTGTTTAATAAATAACAAGGAAGAAACTAAATAAGAATAGAAAAATGATTTCTCATACACGTAAGAATCAACAATTAGGATAACTGTAAAAAGGCTTCTGGATCAACTTGCCCTTACGCCTAAGGTCAGCGAATCGTCATAGTTTTTGCCAAGGATTATCGAATCATTTTGTCCGGGATCAGAGAATTGTCATAATTTGTGCGACAGGCTTCAATAAATAATAGTTTTTATTAGAGGCATGGTATTATAATAGCTTTTGTATTACAACACGTAGTAGTTTTTACTCAGAGTTTCAAAATAAAATTTGTTTGTTCGTACGGTAAGAACAATGAATTAAAAAGAATTTTCACATTAATTTTCAAATAATTAACATGTGTTTTTTAAAATTAAATTTACAGATAATATGATTTGGTGACGTAAAAAAAGAAAGCTGTTCTGGTCCCTTGCATGTAAATGAATCAAAAATACATATCTTATATTGTTTAATGCCAGAGAACAATCTAGATTGTGATACTTCTCAAATATTATAGCACATAGCTGTGAAATAGTTTCTGTATAATTTTTTTTTATTTATCAGGGTTCACAATTAATTGTAGTATTTTTTACATAGGAGGAGCAGAACACTACTTTTTTCTCTAAGAATACAAAATATTTTAGTCCACAAAAAAGTGTAGTACTTCGCATCCTCTACTAAGGGCAAAAAGAGACACTTAGCGCTTAGACTTTTGATTGATAACATTTAAAGACGTTTTCATTTATTTTAAATAAAGTGTTGGAATATTTCAGATACGTGCATACGCATGTGCATAAATATGCTACAGTAAGTGTACACACACACACACACCTAACCTCCCCCCATACACACACTTTAATAGTGTCAACAATATTAGAGTGATTCCACATACACCAATTAAAACATAAATAGAAGTATAGGCACAGGCATTCGAACATTAGTCAATATATGTACACTGCGAAAATACAAGGAATGAGTGCCACCCTTCAGGGTCAATTTATAACTATGCCTTTAAGTCTGCCTTTGTCTTGTTTGGTATACACAGCTTTAGAGTACTTCGTTTTCCCGATAACTGACAAAATGCTTAAGCAGTGTCTGACTGCATTAAATAATGGATCAAGTTGGCGATTCACTTAGTACAACCTTCTATTCCTGTATTACAAAAATTAATCTATTTACAAAGGTCTTTCTGTTACAAAACATAATTGAAGACTACTACGATTCCGACTCTAAATCAACCCAAAGTTTCTTTTGCAACAATGATGATGAAGTTAAATTCACAGATGTGATCGTAACTTGAGGTTGTTTGCTTATTGGTGAGTTGTAGCGTGCTGAAACTAAGGTAGATGGCGGAGGAACGGGTAAAGGGGGAGGTAGTTGTGACACACCTGAAAACTTGAGAGGTGGATAGGGATTTGAACCTGGAGGTGCTTGTGGCATAGAAATCTGATTTTGTGTTGATGACAGTTCGAGGCATGTTTGTTTTTGCTGATTCACACCTTTTAATACTGGCAGCGTCGATGACTCTTTTATTTTTAGAGTTGGAAGAGCAGGTAGGGTAGATTGCTCTTGCAAAATAATGGGATGCTGGACCACGTCAGACTTTGCATTAGACTTTGGCAAATATTCTGGACAATGATACAAAGGTACTCCTGGTGGAGGAATGTATGGTTGAGGTGGCAGCTGCATAACCGGATAATTTATCCCACTTGCTGTATCAGTTGATGTAGAACTTGATAATTTCGGAGAAACATCGATACTTGGGCCTAAATATGTGTAAACATGAATAAGTTTTATAATAGAGAATATATAACAATTAAAAGTATAGATATTATTTATTGTTATAATCATATTCATATTATTATTATATCCATCCTATATACTTAATGTTGCAGTAAACAGTAATGAATTTGGTTACAAAATTACAATTTTTTGATGGGAAATCACGTTAGTACTTTGCAATGGTACACAGATTTTATTATGTGCATTTAGTTATATTATTTTTTATTAATTTATCCTCACTAATACAGTAAGTCTAAAAATACTTTTATTCCTAACTATTAAACGGTGGCATTATTTTTAGAAATATATAGTATTTAACACCATACAGATCCGCATAACCTTCTCCCCCGAACTAGATCATTTAAACTTTTTTCTCACTAATATTTGGGTTGGAATATCTTGAACCCATCTCTTGGCACCCTGTAAGCCCCTTTTCTTCTCCAAAATAAAAGTTTATAAAAAGTTGTTAAATGACATGACCAATTTTCATGTAATAGACATGGTTACAGAAAATGATAAGCGGAAAAAAAGACTTAAGAAATGGAAAATTTCTGTACATATGTTATAAGCTTTAGATGTAATACATAACTTTAAATATAATGTTACTGTAGTAAAATCTAAACGTAGAGACTCAATTTTATGTTTAAAAAATACAGCGGATAAAAAAATTAAATAGTGATACATGTATAAATGCAAAACTTTTAAGTCCTTACAAAAATGCATAAAAAAGTGTTGTAGCTTAAGATTAATAAAAATAGGAAATAGTAACAGTAAAAAAGAGTATTAAAGAGACAAATAAGTTGTTACACAGTTGAATAATTGTTGGAGTCAGAAAAAAGTTAAAAGTAATAAGACAAATAATTATTTGGATGCATTTTTAAACGTGTCAAAAAAACGAGGCGTAGTGTTGGAAAAGAATGTAATGATGTAGTTAATTTATAAATGTTTCATAAAGCAAAAGACAAACACATGCAATACAGATAAAGTTATTTATTTCAGGTATGACCGTAGAGCGATTAAGGTACAAATTTAAATAAATACACTAGATAATCAAATTAATAATTAAGGAAAAGAGTAGAAATGAACAATAAATAAAACAAAAGAAAAAGGAAAATCATACATTTTTATTTTGATAAATGATAAAAATAAGTAGACTTTTTCAAGAAACAAGTATAAATTGCACTAGAAATAAATATATCCAGAAAAGACCTACTTATGTTAGAATTGACACATTTGCGTCTTTAATAGCTTAAAATTGTAAGTAAGGCATAAATAAATAATTTTAAATATTCTAGCCTATATTCCATATAAAGTAGCATGACAGCATTTAGAGATTTGGTTATTCATATAATTTACATCCACCAGTATACGATAAAACTCAGGATGCAAGTATTTGAGGTGCAAAAATAAAAAATTTATGAAACTCATCTTTCAATTAACCTTTTTATTCACGCATCAAATTGTATCTATAATTACTTGAAGATAATATAAATATTATGCTTTGAATCAATGAGACTTACTTCTAAACTGGTACAATTAAGAATTATAATACCTTTGAACAAGTTACTCTTGAAATTATGATGAAAGTTACTTCAATAAACAGTGAAATGAAGTAGGCTTTTATTTTGCGTGACGTATAAAAAAAAACTAAAAAAGGAAACTTACAGTTTATGCATGGAAAACAGATATTAACTAACATGTACAAATTTTTTTTTTTTTTTTTTTTATATTATAGTGCTTTACGTCCGGCTCCTATAAAGGGCACTACACAGGGCACTTAGCACTTTGGAGAAGGAAGGGAAGAGGGATGGGGCGCCTCTCATTATAGGAGGAGGGTAGGGGGAAATTAGGCAATTTTTGCTGCGAGAAGGTCGCCTAAAACCCTCCTCGAGGAGCATTGCGTGGTGAAAAAGCACATGTAAAAAATCACAGAGGTGCTTGCCCAAAAAAGTCACACTATAGGGCCGGGAATCGAACCACGGTATCCCGCATGCCAATCCACGACCTAGCCGACTGAGCCACCGCGTGCTCTTTAACATGTATAAATAGACTGATCAATAACTACTTTCACGGTAGATTTTTGGGTTATTATTATAAACAAAATAAATATGTCTTCACCGTCTACCGCTCAGCATGGAAAGTTTCACACTGGTTTCCAATAACACAAAAAAATGGTTAAAAAATGTAAACATCACGTATACATCTTCCTACATCTTGCAGTTATTGAGCTGAAGCTTTCCACTTCCTTCTCCTACACTCACAACTAACGCTGCCCCACCTCACCGTCGATGCATTCCCTCTCTGCAAAATCAAGAAATATCCAATAGCTTTCTCTGTTGTTATTCAACCAACTAGAATCATACCTACAGCCCACCAAGATCCCCTAGCCCCCGCACAATTTTTAGAGCCTTCCGCAACCCCCCCTTTTTCTGCCCACGAAAAACAAAGAAAAATTTGATCACTTTGTCAATAATTTAAATCAATAGAATTGTATTTTGAGCCCATTAAGACCCCATTAGTCCCACGCAGCATAAAACTTTCCGTTATTTTTTTATAACCCCTCCCTCGTGCCCTTCTACACCCTTTCACGTAGTTATCATAGAACCTCCCCACCCCCTTCCCAATGTCTCAATAACCAACGCAATATATTCAGAACTCCTACCTCCACCGCAAAATTATTAAAAATTTTAAGGATATGTTTATTGTTTGTCCTCCTAAAATTATCAATTTGTTTCTTAAATTTTTGTGTATATTCCTGACTACTGCTTGTAAAACTGTTTTTAAACATTCCATAACTGGTAATTCTTTTTTAAGAGTAAAACTCATGCAATGCTAGTCCAGACCATTGACAATTTTTTTTTTCTTCCTGATACAAAAAAATGAATTAATGTCTTATACAAAAAAATTCTTTTTGTTACTATAAAACAGTTATTAAAATAAATTTTACAAGTTTTTCTTCGCGTAACTTAAAAAAACTTCTTTGTTAACTATTTACTTGGATATCGAGTAGAACATATGTTTACAGTCTGCAATTCCCTCAGTATTATCATTGCCCTATATATAATTTTCATTTGGTGTCAGTTATACACATAATTAACATGATTTATCTTTAAGTTCAAAAAATGTCATTAATTTTCATAAGAGCACGGCTTACTTTCAAATCGACAAAATTTTCAGTAAAATAATTGTTACACTTATTCCAAATTCTATTATATTTTTAATTTTCTGGTATCTGCTGTTTATTGATTATTTTGTTAATTTCGTTTTATTGAAAATTTATTTTCAGTTATTTTTGAAGTGCATAGCGAGATTTACAACTTAGTGACTTTTACCGTACCTTCTTTTATTAATTGGAAAACTTATATTGTAGAAGAGTTTGTTATGTTCAATACTAGTCATTAAATTTTTACTCAAATAAATTGAGTTTACCTTTACATTCACATAATAACTTTATTTAAATCAATAAACAGTCTTTTAACCATTACACATTATGGTTTTTATTAGACATTTGATCGATGTTACTAACACGTTTTTGATGCAAAAATAACAATTTTTTCAAAAAAGTTGTCAAATAAAAAAAACAGAGCTGACAAAACAAGAAAACATTTTTGACTCAGGCTTTACTTTATTCATATAATTTACATCCACCAGTATACGATAAAACTCAGGATGCAAGTATTTGAGGTGCAAAAATAAAAAATTTATGAAACTCATCTTTCAATTAACCTTTTTATTCACGCATNTGTTACTAACACGTTTTTGATGCAAAAATAACAATTTTTTCAAAAAAGTTGTCAAATAAAAAAAACAGAGCTGACAAAACAAGAAAACATTTTTGACTCAGGCTTTACTTTATTCATATAATTTTAAGCAGATCAGGGTATTAGCATGTGGAGCACACAGGAGGCAAAAATCCACAAATACGCGAGCGCACACACACACATACACGCATATAAACTAGAGTAGCTTCACCCTCTGCGTCCTCCACGTCTCAACCTTCTGATGAATTTAAATTAGAGGTAATAAAATAAAGCCTTGCTCAAAAAAGGTCTCTTTCTTTTCCAGCTTTGCTTATTTCTGTTTGACAAATTTCAACATTTTGAAATTAAATTGATATAAAATAGTAATGTGATGACTTACTACTGAAAATAGGTAAAGGAAGAATGAAATACTTTGAAGTTCCTGAAAAATAAAAAACAAATGATTTTTTACCCAAAAACTTTTAGAAAAAATATTAACTGTTAAGTAAATAATGTTATATGTATTTTTAATAAGTACACAAATTAAAAAAAAATTAAATTCCAAGTTACATATAAGGAGAAATAAAAATTCATTTCGGCAAAGATTACGCAACTTCATAAGTTTTCAAGTTAATTAAAGTATTTTTAATGGCTTACGGAAATTAGAGACATACGTTTTGCACCAAAAATAACTTCAAAGACAGAAAATATATTCCCATTACCTTCTACTTTAAACAGAAATAAATTTCCTTCTATTTCCGCGTTTAACGTTTTCGTTAATGTCACTATATCAAGATAAAAGAGCGAAGATTAAAGATTAAATTAAATTGACCACGATATTTAATCAATAATAAAAAACATAGATCGGAAAAAATATGTTAAGTGAGATAAAGTGAAGTATGAAATAATATACACACTACGGAAAGAAATAAACAATACTTAGATCTTATATTTGTGACCCTTGGTTTTGCCTCGAGTAATGTTACGCACCAGATCTAGATTATTTTTTACTTCACCACTCTAGGTGTGTAAATAGCTATAAAACCATACACAGATATGAAGATATTTCTATTGCACGAAAATAGTGGTAAAAATCTGAAGAATTATTCTTTCAACTTTGACATAATGAAACAACTTTTTATGATTATATTATAACTTTATAAACATTTTTACGTAGTATGGAACAAAAATGATACTATATGCAAATATTACATTAAGACATTAATGCCATATTAAGTTTATAA